GAACTATGTAGGCCTACTGCAAGTTTCGATTGCCTCCGACGGGATTCCAACCTGCGACCTCTCGCTAAACAAGTATGTTTTTTTTTATATCTGGCTTAACATTATCGTTAATATTTGGGAAAATTAAATGAGACATGAATAACGAATTTTCAAAATTTTTATGACGAATATCTAATTAAAGATTAATGTAAATTTTCTGTCCGTACCGATTTGGCAGGTTTCAAGATAAGGTGTGTGTGCGTGCGTACGTACGTGCGTAAGGCATGTCCATAATAAGAGTCCCTAGAGTCCAATCGATACATATTATACAGGTTCGGTCACTGATACCAAAAGAAAGTTATCAGCATTCCATAAATGTTTTTGTTTTACCATAGGGTTTAGTCCGTTATTAGTTATGGCTTTAATGTTCGTCAAAATATAAAATTAATAAAAAGGGCATAACGGCATATGCACATTTGCTTGAGTAAGAAAATGCATAACTAACAGTCTGGAATAACTTGTTTGCCTGTTTACAAACAAGGCAATTCAACAGAAGGACGCACATCTCGGGACATCAAAGGTTGTAGCTCTGGCATCGACATTCTAGGCGCACGTGCGTCCCTACACGCTTATCGTCACAAAAACCATAGCAACCAGACCATAAACCGTCAGCGTACGTGACGATTTACCCACGCACGTGTTAGTTGCCATGATAATCGCGCGTCGTGCGGTGATTACAAAGGCCTAATGATATTTTGCACTAACATTAGACTGAAATATATTCATTTAAACATTAATTTTACCAAAATTGTGGTGAATTGTCGTTCATGAGACTCACTTCGCAGAAAATATTAATAAATGTTCTGTATATACTCAAATGTTCGTTTTCGGCACCTTATGCCAACATTGTCAAAATGACAGATTAATGTTACATAAGAACATGAAATTTTATAAAATTTGTAAATTTTAAATTGTTATAACTTTTAATTTTCTTGGTCAATTTTCACAAATCAAATTGCAGTTTATAGAAGCATTTAACAAGTTCGCGGTCAAAAAAATCAGATGTAACAGACATTGCGAAGTACCCACAATTAATAAAATAAAAACTAACACCATAAAACGAATGGCACGCATAGACTAACAATTGACGGCTGTACTCGCAACTAGTATCGGATTGTCGATGCCACAGTAAAGATCAAAGGACTGTACGCACGCGCTATGTTCTAGAGCGGAGATGTGCGTCCTTCTGTTGAATTACCTTGTTACAAACGTCAGCGTAACATACACACGCACGTACGTACGCATACACATACAAAGACACCTACACAGGCTCCTATTTTTAATAGGAACCAATTTTTGTAGGAACCAAATATCAAGTAATATTTACAGACAAGACGTTTATTTTAAGATATAATTACCTTTCTAATATTGAGGGTGAGTCACTTGCTCAGTTATTAAATTCATTTAGTAAAAATAAATAGGCTTATAGTTATTTACGATGGACTGATTATAATCCATCAGCTGACAACTTACAAAAGTTTGTACATTCATATCAAGAGAATGAATTCAGTCATAAAGAAAAAAGTTTAGTTTAGAAAACACTGACCTATTTTCAATTAATGGCACTACTTTATGTTACTTTTTTAAAGCTGTAAGTAATATGTATCCGGTAACATAATGGTAACATTTGGATTTCTCCTAACCATTGTTTCTTGTACTGGGCTTCATGCTTGTTTTGAATGCCCTTTGCATTTCAATTTATTATCTCGGTTCTTTATTATGCCACGATTCTTGTTTTGAATTTTGAATTTGAATAAAGTTATACTTGATACAGGCCAAGTAATTATTTATTTTGGTTACCATTTTGCGTGTTATTAAATTTGGTATGTTGTACCCTTCCCAATGGTGTGATATAGACATTTTTTTCAATTTTAGGAAATTAATATTTCCAGAATGCTTTCAATAATAAGGTGTATTCTTTATTGTGTATAGCACCTTTATGCGTCAGATGAAGACAAATTACATCTGTTTATATATAGTATAGTATCCGACGTTGTCACTATTATGTATTTAATAGCATTTTTCTTACTCTATAAGAAATTAATTTATCATGCTAATGTGAGAATCGTTATTTTGACCTACTGAAATCAATTTCAGCATTAGGCCTAATGTGTTTTAGGATTTGAGAAATTCAACTTCATTTTAGGCTTTTACTTTTAGAAGTAAATAAATTACATCCACGGTTCAGTATATTTGATGTTGCTGTCATTGATTTTTTGTGGTTGTGGTTATTTTTTTTACTTACTTTTTGTTAATATAATAAGGAAAGGGCCGTTTTAACTTACTGTATTATTCGAATAATGCCCACTTTGAGTAAACGCCCCCTCTAGAGCCTCATTTGGAATAAAGGCCTCCATCGACTAAACGCCATGGGCGTTTATTTTGCCTCAAATTAACGTCTCCCTAAACAAATCTAATAGCAGCAACATCATTGTAATCACATTCTATTAATGTTACATTCCAGTAGAATTACCTTTTTTCTAACCTGGTTGAGATCAATAGGTATTTATGATTACGTAATTTTGAAGGTAATTAATTTCATCTCAATTGCTTTATGTTGCAGAGGCTTAAGTGACATTCGGTAAATGGTTTATTTCACAATACAAAAAGAAAACAATAATCATACTTATAAAGTAAAACTATTCTGAAAAGAAACAGGGGTGGCACCACGATTTGCACAACGGGGTGGGGGGGGGGGGCGAGGTCCCTGACGGGGAGGTCCCTGACGGGTGGGCCGATGTCTGCGACGAGAGCAAAGTAGGCGCGGTCGCGCGTCGTTCAAAATGTTTCCAAAGTAGTCCAGGGGTGAATTTAGGGTTTCAAGGACTTATAATCGAATTTAATATGTAGACAATACATATAATCTGTTTTTCTCCCCGGCGGGTGGGTGGATGAGCTCTCTCCGATGAGGGACCTGGCCCCCACTACCCCACATCCGTAAAGAAAACCCATTCTAAGCACGCTCGCATTATTAATAATTCGTAACAAACTTTACCCAAATAAAATAACATTCCGATCCATCACATTATTTACACTCTCATAAATTATGGAATATTCGATAGCAAATTGTAAATCAATGAAAATTAACTTCGTTTATGAATGATGAAAAGGGAGACGTTATCTTATATTTTGCATTTCTTTCATATAATGCTGACACAATGAAAAACTGAGGCCCTCAATAAACTTCATCATCAGGAATCCTGATATTGAAATGATATGCGGTCTTATACACGTGTTAGTACGAGAAATACAGAAATACATACCAACTAATAATTAAGGAGTTATTCTCTACTAATGCATCTGTATTTATAAGGAAAACATGAAGGAGGCGGGACATATTTAGGACTACGCCATAAAAGCTCTCCCCATGAACCCTAACAGGGATTTTTTTTATTCCAGCCTGCTGACCGAGGCTTCATCGTCGCCTTGGTTTGGACCCCTCCCTCGGACACGTCGGACCCCTTGTCGGCAAATTTCTGGCACCACTGCTGGGTGGGACAGACCAAGTGAAGGGTGAAACATAAGAAAGGTATGCGAAAATATATAATATATATATATATATATATATATATATATACAGTATATATATATATATATATATATGAATCAATATTTTAACTTGGTATGCAGACTTTATGTAAGATTGTGCAAAATTGGCCAATACATATACAGGTATCACCAAAAACAAAACAATTATCTTTCATGGCTGTGCATACAATAAATAGAAATGTTTGTATTAACATATTCAATTAGACCTCAAAACAGCTACTTTACAAGAATATTTTCGTTGATAGTATGTCAAAGGTCTGATTAATAAATTTGCCATCATCTAAAACTAAAAAAAAGGTTTAACCAATACCAATATGGTGGTAACAAATTTGAAGATCAAAAAGGTACAACAAAAACAATCAGGAAGTGAAACCACTGGTATTAAACATAATAATTATTAAAATAAACTACATTAATTACTTATTTTCTTAATTTGTTAGTTGTATTTTGAAAGTTACATAGCATTCTTTAAATCAAAATTTTTGTTTAATATATACATCAAAATGATTTCAATAAGAATTACTTTATCATTACATAATGAAGGTGGGTGAAAAAAGAACAGATGAGTATGTATCATAAATATCAATTCAGAACAACAATCAGAATAAATCAAATTTCTACACTCTCTATGCAAGCGCATGCTCAGTGCAATAAAAGTCCCCTAACTGTTGATTGCAGTCTTAGTGGATCGTCGTTGAAAACAATCTGACATGCAACACATCATCACGGTTTAATGGAATTGCATTCTGCGTCCGGCTTTAGTGCCATTGCATCAGTTCGGTACCATCAAATTGTAATTTTAAGAATTGTCTATTATTATGAACTTACAGGAGACTGCTGAAAGAATCAATTCAAAGATTTACAAGGCTATGCTGCTCTCTACATTATCTAATTTTTCAGTAAAATATTAGACTACTGTAACATAACGTAATCAGGGAGTCACTATCTCTCTTTCTAAACTGGCTATATTTCCTTTAAGATTTATGAAGCAAGCATACTACAGTACAAGATAAATGAATATTATATATTAATAAATACTTCCAATCTAATAACATGAATATAAAATACTAAAAAATAAAATATGGCACTATCATGATTTATACATGATGATAAAACCGCTGATAGCACTTTAATGACTGATTTTCTAATGTTTGGATAACAAGTTCGTACCTCTGACATTTTAAGGAACAATTTTTTTTCGGTTATCAAATTGTCTGTAAAACACAATGTTTCAAGGATTAATTTTAATTTTTTTCAAATGAACATATGGCACCAATTATTAATGTGTATTGTTAACACCTCCTATGACATAGCCATCCTTTGGAACACCCCTATTTTGGCTGAGCTTTTGTAAAGCACATCTTTTAACAACCTTCTTAAGGGACACTTTTTGTTTGTCATAAACGCATTCAGTTAATAGGGGTTCTACTGTAGTAACAATGTACACATTTTAGCTAACAACTCATCATTAGTGCACAACATTGATGCACTAGAAATTTTGATAGCAGGCCTACCTGTAACAACTTTGTGCATGCATCTGAATGCAAATTTCTCATTGCACTGCGACGCATGTAAGCAACACTCTGCAAATCACCAGATACACTTGCATTCAAATAGCCAATTTGGTTTTTTTACAAACAATAAAATCAGAAAATAAAAACATAAAATGACTCAAAAAAAAATAAATGTATTTTAAAGAAATTGGAATATGATGTGCTATACCAGCACAATTTTATCTCTAATTTGTGCATTAGCACTAACCATTATGTAATTAATTCCTCACAATAAAAAGCTGTATACAAAATAACAAAAATAGCCCAACCCAAAATAAACAATTTTAAAAATTAATGATGCATAAAAAATGTTGAATAAAAAGACATAGTTCCAGACTTGTAGACATTAACTTGTAGAGTTTTGAGTAATAATATTGTCTCAGTGATCCAGTTCCATTTTTCTTCTCAATCTTACTTCTGATGACAATTGGAAGTCTATATTTCATGTCCTAGTTCATTTAAATGCATTCACTATTGCTGTAAACCAACAATTGGGTAGCAAATTTGTTGCATTTAATTACTGTGCCATTTTGTTTGACAACCAATCAAGACCTTCATATAATCCTTCTCCTTGTGTTGCACATGCACGCTGTACGTGCCACTGAAATATAAAAATATGTGATCATTAATTGTAAATCCAAAGTCCAACTCATAGGTGGATTCAAGGGGAGGCCCAAAAGACCTGCCCCACTCCTAATAATGAAGTAAAAAGCCATTTCCAGCTATCTAGAACTGCCATAATTTTACAATTTCGCACCTCAGCTCCAACCATGGTGGAGTTGAGATGGTGTAGACCCTCTGTCAAATTATACCTCCCTGTGCCAAATAAATAAAACAGTTAGGATCAAGGCCAACCAATAGAAAAATCTAAAGCCATTTAAAAAAAATTAAATTCTATAAAATAAAACGTTGACATACTTCTCTGCCCTTTATTTTGTTAAGTCCAAGTTTCTCTGTAATTTCTGATAATGACAGGGCTTGGGGAAGATCTTGTTTGTTAGCAAATACTAGAACGATGGCTTCTTTCAAATCATCCTCACCCAGCATCCTTGATAATTCATCCTCTGCTTCACTGATTCTTTCTCTATCGTTGCTATCGACTACAAAAATTAAACCCTGCAAGATGGATGAACATTTACAAAATAGAATTTAAACAATAATTCTGTTATATATAATAATGCCTATAATGAACTATAAAGAGCATTCTGTATTACTTTCACTATCAATTTATATCAATCCATTTGTAAGACATTCCCTAATAATGAAAACAGTACACTAGATAGTGCTCCTATCAAAGGGGTTTGACTCCAGCTGGGCAGTGCCCAGTTGTAAAGGAGTTCCAGTCCAGCCGTCCGAGAAGACCGATGCAGTTGTCTGGGAATACCCAGTAGTAAATATTAAATAAAATATTTCCTCTAGACAATTTTGACAGTCTGAGGGTGTCATTTCTGAGAACCCACTTAGTGTCACGGCCTTACAACCTTGTTAGGAGTACTGTTTTGATTAGTATGGAGGTAAGTGGATAAAATGTATTGCAGAACTTGGGCTAGTCAAGCAAAAGCCTTTAAATTATACATTTGCTTCTAAATAAAAGACAGAACAAAAGATCTTACTTGAGTGTTTTGGAAATAATGCCTCCAGAGTGGTCGAATTTTGTCCTGACCGCCAACATCCCATACTGTGAAGCTAATGTTCTTATATTCTACAGTTTCAACATTAAATCCTACAAAAAATTACAAAATACAGTTAAATGTCACATGCTATCTTAAGCATAACTCTGATTTATAACACACACCATTGCAAAGAGATGCAATCATTTAAGGAAGCTATACACAATTCAATTACCCAAGCAAGATACATTTATAAAAGTGAATGATGTATGCATCGCATTGGACTGAACTTGGTGTACTTACCAATTGTTGGAATAGTGGTGACAATTTCCCCAAGTTTCAATTTGTACAGAATGGTTGTTTTACCAGCTGCATCAAGCCCAACTGAAATTTTAAAAATGAAACAATGGTTGCTAATTCAATTAATACAATAACTAATATAATTTTAATACACTTTACAAGCATCCAAAAACAATATTAACAAATGTATGCTTCTACTCTTTCCCAATCAAATATACAATTTCTCAATTTGCTTCATATTTGCTTCCTTTACTCCATGAAATTGTAGTGAGAGGAGGCAGCTCAGTCAGCGAAACTAGTGGTAGCCACTGTGTGTGCACTGAACTGAACCAAGAGATCTTTCGGATCTTTGGTCACTGGTTTAATTCTATCCGCTGCTCTCCTAGTGTTTCAGCTGGAGAGATGAAATTTTGGTTATAATAGCACAATCAACACTGTCTGTCCTGTTGAGTGTACAATATGGCCCATGTGCATTTCAATTAAAGAATGCATACTCTTCAGAAAAGGGCAGGATTGCCTCCCGACAAAACTGCCAATTCACAGCTGGAAGGACCCGGATGACTGGAAAAGAAGTCTTCAGGCATTTTATTGGATGATGCAATTTACCGTACCAAACACTAAGATAAAGGAAGATATGGTACCGTACCGTATCCCTAGCAATGGTGTTATAAGAGGCAGGCTTACTGTGTAGACATTTGACTTGGTAGGTCTTGTTATTTATTGTAGCTAGGCCTAGCTAGGCTAGCCTATCTAGGCCTAGCCTAGGGTCTGCTTTTTATATAGACCTAGGCTAGCTAGGCTTAGCCGCCCCCTCCCCAGACCTAGGAGGCCAGCCTAGGCTATTCATTCTGTCGAGCCTAGGCCTAGGTTAATCTTATTATTTTTTCAATTCAATTTATAAAATATTCCTTGACAAACGACCAACCCATTTAGTTATGTACACTACTATCTACGGCCCAGGGGGTATATGCCGAGATTAAGCCCGTTAGAGAACTAGACATCGTAATTGCATTGTCAACGTAGCGCCTAGCCTGCCTGATGGATCGATAGGCATACCTAGGCCTCAGCACCTACAATACTCGGAAAACTAGACCTAGCCTAGGCTAGGACTCCTGTGTAGCTAGTCGGCGAACTTACCCATCAAGATCCTCATTTGTTTTTTGCCAAAAAGCCTATTGAATATACTTGAAACTGTCAATCCCATGTTGCTTTTGATTATTTTAATAAAGGATGATGATATATAATACTAAAATAACTAGTACAAAGAGATGGTTTCAGCACAATATACAAATTTAACTCCTTCGTAAGTTGGCTGCCACGTCAATCACACCGGGTTGGCGAAAACGATTCTACAAAATTCTATCATCAGGGAGGATTGACATGAGTTTGGTGATCGGTGAACTCAAAATGACGTCATATTGGCTGGCGACCCCATGTAGTAATGGAAGTGGCTTCTAAACCCAATACTGGTTAGTTACTACGAGTATGGTTGGAAGACAAATTCAGGGACAAATTATGACTATTATTATCAAAAGGAAATTCTCTCACCAAAATATAATATATACGTGAAATTTAAATAACAATTTAATTTAAATAACAATTTAATAACGAAAAAAGCATTTCTGCATACCGTTAAATTTCTGCCAGCAAATATTTAAAGGATTACTGTAGTAAAACATCTGTCAATCATTAAACATATTTTTTTTTATCTGTGACTTATTCATTATATTCAACCACGGGATAAAATGATGCCATTGATTTTATGTATCAATAGTTGCTTTAGTATGGTAATCGTGTCTTATTATATTGAGAATTCAGTCATTCTTTTTATTAGTATTCTTTTATAATACAGCATACTACTTATAGGCCAGTGTATTTATTCGAATAAACGCCTCACATTAAATAAACACCTCCCTCGAATAAACGCCACCTGCAGAGCCTCATTTTGAATAAACACTCTCTCGAATAAACGCCCCGATGTTTCATTTTCCTGAAAAACGCCACTGTAACTGAAACAAAACCAATAGAATGATCAATTTGTCAGTCAACACATTCTAATAAGGTTCTACTCCAGTATAATTGCATTTCTTTTTCTAACTGGCTTTCATTATCAATTACCGTGTCTGTCCAAAAATTTCCTTTTTGGACAATAAATTTGAATTTGTATAATCACGCAATAACACATTTTCACGGTATTTTTTAAATTAAAGCCTCCTTCGGAATAAACACCTCCCTCAAAATAAACGCCCTTCGAAAACCCTTCTCAACAATAAACGCCAAGTGCGTTTATTCGAATAAATACGGTATTATATTTTTGTTTTTTATGCTTATATGCTTGTACAGTATATTTATACTTTATACTGTATCGGATTTTACATATTTTAAGTTTTGAAATCAATTATACGACCATGTTGAATTATTGTAGTTATCAATAAAGGCCTATATTTGACACCTAATAGGTCAATCTCAATCAATATCATCACGAATTGGGCAGAATTGGTTATTTAGATCACAGATCCTTCTATAGGATCTGTGTTTATGTTTAAACACCACAAATACGCTCAACACTCAAATAAAATAACACAAACCAATGTTTTCCTCACAGAGGTTAGTTCCACTTTTAATCCATAAAATCATTAATTTATATTTGCATGTTTTCACTTATTGTAAGTCCTGAGATTAAATTACCAAGTTTACTGCAAATACTGGCATATAAACTGAAACTATATCACGCTCAATGTCATGTCATGAACTGAAAGTTAAGCTGGGCCCTCATTACGCGACCGACGGTCGTCGGCCATCGCGATTCTATAAAGAACGCCAAGTGACAACGCGCGTGGAACGGATGGTTTTTAATGACGATCCGGCCATTCAGACTGCCCACCGGCAATCAGCAGACTGCGTCGCGTGGTCTAGCGCTCACAGGTAGCCGAGTTGAATTCGTCGTGAGACGGTCGTACGACCGCAGTACGACGCAGCGAGTATCCAGCTTAAAAGAAATTCTAAAAAAAACATTGCATTGGTTTGCTATATGGATTTGCCAACACACTGGTGTAAAATGGGTAAAAGCAAAGGTAATGGAACTGCCTTCACATGGATGGTGATGCCATGGACGGTGATACACTATAGTGAGGCCGATCAAGTTATCCGTCCACACACGACCGAGACGACTTTAGTAAGTAAAATCCACTTTGTTAAGTACCTCCACCACAATAAATTAGATATACGTGATCAACTATTGCATCTAGTAATGTAATGTACTGTGTACTGTTTATATTGTTTTATAACAATACTACCAAATTAATTATTTAAATTAATCTATTAACATGTAAAACCTTTTTAATAAACGTTCAAATGCCGTCAATCAAGGCGATACATACAATTGACCTTTCCAGAATGTCAATCAAACTTAAAAACTGACCAATCAGAACAGTATCACGAATACGCGCGCGCGCTCAAAAACCATGTGTTGTACGTCCCACAAGCGCACGTGCTTGCGTATATTTTTACAGTTTTTCATTAATTTAGATTAAATGAACCTTTTCGGACTGCCAGTCAAACAGCTGAAATCAATCTGAGATCTGTCCAGTCTATCTAAAAACTGATGTATTCCCATGTATAGTCATGATGTTCCTATATATGGCCAAGATGTAATGTCATCATGACCATATTGAGGCACGTTACATGATTTTGTCAAACAAAATTTGATAGTCTGGACAGGGATTTAAGCTCTGTCCATACTAGAAAATATTAGGCGACAATTTGTGAGATGTGCCCATAGATGGGCATGATGGTGTCATATTACACTCCCCCCAGCGCACCATAAGTGGAGGAGGTTGCAACCTGTAATGATTGATTAGGTATCCATTTACCAAAGAAAAAAAAAGTATAGCATTAGTGCGCTAAATTCTATAAAATAATAATAAAATACTACTAATAATAATACTTATTAAAAAAGTTTAGTTAATAAATACGTAAGTGTTAGAAGCCAAATAAAGTTCCCTTTGGCATTATTTACACTTCCATTCGTCGTATTGTATTTAACTTCACACAGCTGTAACGGTCCCTTAGGAACGCACGCATTTTCTTGCACATCAGTCACAATAACAGAAAGATTAAAAGAATGGTTATCCGCGTAATTGCAGGGTCCACATGAACTGTTATTGTTACAGAATTCCTCTGGGGTACACCATCCATACACTCCAATAAAGTAATGACCAGGGTAGAACTCCGAGTCTGCGTTATACAGATATACACTGCGTCTTTCGATTGAGGCTAACTTCCAAGCGTGATCGTTTATAGTTGGCTTCACAATGGATCGAGAGACCAATAACTCTGGCCAAGCGTAATTGGTTGGGCATTTTGCAGGATCAATACAGTTTTCTAACTTTACCTCAACGTTATTGCAGTTGCTAGATACACAGAATCGGTAATACAAGTAATTTTCTGCAGAGATATTGCCTCTTATCATCCCATTCAATGGGATTTCATCGCTGGGGTGTATGGAGTCAACACTTAGAGCTTGAAGAGTAAACTTTGCATCTTGAAGAAAAAAATGAAAAGTTAAGTAATCTTCTTGACTACTGAATAAAATATCAAGAAAATCATAGTTCAGTGGCGAATATATTTGAGAAGGGCAAAGAATACTAAATTATTATCGAAGAATGTGGTAGCCGAAATTTTGATCATTTCTATATTAACTAATGAATTGTATCTTTATTTTAGCACCTTTTATCTATTTATATTTGTGTATATGTTGTACTGCTTCTTAACCTTGGAAAGAGAATTTCATGTGAACTTTTACGTGACAATAAAGAGAAACTGAACTGAACTGAACTCTTTATACTGTATTTTGTAATTCAACACTTCTAATAACAAGCCTTTCGGCAAGCCCATTCAGCTCCCAGTAGGCATTGCCAAATACACTCCTTTTTTGTCACTTTTGTTTTTATAAGAACACATTTTTTTTTATAAGAACAACGAGGCTGTATGTTCCTGTTTTTTCTACTTCTTTTTATATACAAAATATCGTGTTAATTCGCTCAGTGCGTGTCATACCCAAATTAAATTTTACAAGCCTTTTGGCACGTCCATTCAGCTCCCGGTAGTGAAATTTTGTCAAATACAATCTTCATATGAACACATTAAAAAAACACCGATGCTGTTCTGTTTTTTTTGTTTTTTTTTTCATTTTTCCTTTATATTTCAGGCTGCTTCAACACAATATTTGTTTGCTTTTTTCTTCTAGGGTCTTTGACTTCTCTCTTTTTGCATATCTTACTCTATAATTTATCATTTTCTGTTATTTTTGTTTCCAAAAAAAAAAAAAGTAAATAAATGTTACATTGAATTTAATTGAATGGAAAAGAACATTTTGAGCTCGAAATTGAAAAAAAAAATAAAAACACTGAGTCTTGGCAACATTTTACTGGCTCTTAATCGTATGTAGTCTCACATTTTGAATGAATTTTTCAAATTACCTGTATAGCCAGAGGCTACATCAGATCCACAGTAGGCGTGGACACCAATGTAGAAGGTGCCAATGGAGAATTCCGGGTCCCAACTAGAGATTGTCAAGTTTTCTGATCCCCAGTTATAAGATGACCACGCAAGACTTCGTTCATTTGGAAATTTTGTGTTGCCACGGGAAACGTACACATTTGGTTCTCCTTCCAAAACATTCACCTATTTCAATATGAAATATAGTACATAATATATAATATTTCTATAGGCTTTTGATTATAAGGCCCGAAATTGTAAGAACCAGTGAACCACACAAACAATAAAATGAAACTTCTTATAATACAAGTAAATTTTCTTCCATAATATTGTATGATTTGCAGACATAGTTATTTTAAGTTATGAATTCTATCTGACGATTGAACGCACCAGAGAAAAGCAGTACAGTATATGATCAGAAAACACTCACATTTATCATCAAGTCCTTGCAAGGGTCAGTCACATTAACTTGGTAATACATAAGGTCATTGCAGGGAACTGTCTGCGTTGATGTTTGGACACCAAGTTTCAGATTAATGTGGGTATAACATACGCCCACAGAAAACAGGTAAAAGGAAATACATAACAGGAAAACAATATTCATCGTTATATCTGAAAAAAAGTCGTTAATTGCATTATTTTTACTATTTTTTACTTTTATCAATCTCCGTACATACCATCTAGCACAATCGAAAGTAAAAGTTTCAATAAATTAGTACAAGTAGGCCTACATAGTTTATGTATTTATGACGCATAGCCATAATAAGTAGGCCTATACGAACAGTGGTACATAACATAGGCCTAAATAAACATATTATCTAAGCTTAGGATAGGTATAAAGATATAAAACATAAAAATATATACACACGCAGAAATTGTGTTTTGTAATCAGGAAAGGTGCAATTTATATACACATAAAAATTGAGCTGGATACAAGGGATGCTTAACATTTAGGCCATACACACATTTACGTAATTTTCTTAAATTCCAAAGGTTGATAAGAACACCCAACACAAGTTCGGGAATCTCGAACATGCGCAGCTACAGTAGACCCTATATAGAATGCTGGAGGATAAAATTGTCGGCTGTATAGTAGTGGTAATATAAGAATCCGCATAGATTATAAGGCCTATAACCGTTATTGTAAGAGTCTTGCACTAACAGTTAAAAGGAAGTAGGAACGCTAGCCCTAGAAAAGCTCTACTTACCTTTCAGTAATTTTAAGCCGATAATCACGGTAACAATACTAGTCAAGCACTAGTGGCCAGAGACGCGATAGTATTTAGATCAGACTACGATGTTTCAATCAACTGCAGGAAATTAACACGTTATTAATATGATATACAAACTAAATAAGACTACCCTGAAAATTTCAACAGGATAGCTCGATCATAAAGAGAAACACTCGATGAATGATAATCTTGATCAAAATAAAATTACACCATGCTTCAATAGCTGTGCTGACGCAATAAGTAGGCCTACACGAGACCGGAATGTTCTTGGCTGTGGTCCAACGCTCATTCAGTCCCCTGCTGTGAGCTTGTAGTTCCGGGTACGTGATCTTAATAATATATTATGAATATGAAATAGGTGATAGTGCTAAACTTTCGTAAATCTTTGAAAAGGTAATTTCAGACAGGTCGTGTATACTCGGCATAGAATGTGCAACGATTGCCGGGGTACACAGTAAATTATTTTAAAAATAAACTAAAAATCAAGCATCGAGGTCTTTTTGAAACTGGCCTATATTATACAGTTTGTAGATCCAAATCTAACTACAGTGTATACCTAAAAGTGGACCTCTTGGACTCATAGTTCTATAGCCCTAGTTGTTTGAAGGGCCAACATATTTTTAGAGTTGATCTCACGGGCCAAATACACGCCAAGTTTGGAGCAATCGTTAAAATTAGTACCTTGGTGAGTGTGGGGGACGATCATCAGTAGTTTAAGAGTCGTTGTCAGCTTTTGAATATATGATTGGTAGCAATAAAGAAAACGCCTAAGTTTAGATTTTTTTTAATTACAAGTAACATCAATATTAATTTTACCTGTAACGTGGATCAACTACCATTTTCCCGCAGTGTACGCGATGTCAATTTTATGAGCACTATTCTTTGTACACCAAGTTTTTGTTAAACATGTATAGTGAAGTGCAAACACTACTGACGAAACACAGTGAACAGAACAGGAAGATAAAACTTGGCGGCAAATTTCAGAAAGTCCACTTTTTAACACCCGGATTATTTCACTAAAATCCTAATTATCGCGAAATGTATGCATTGCATTTTATTTTCCACCTCTTCTAACCGTTGATTTTTAATAACCGTGGTAGAAAATGTTGGAAATTATCAGCTACAGTGATTGCAGATTGATCTATTATGAACAATTATATCTGTAGCCTAGATAGGCCTATAAAGTAGATATTTTCCAGGTCCCTACAACACGAAAATGAATGAAAATTTAAATAGAATATTCAAATTATGGGTTTAAGAAATCCTATTACATAAGGCTCTCAAAATGCAGCTTTGTCGGAGCGTCCGGGGGCTGAAAGATGAAACTATAGTTAGTCTACCATCATCAATGATCGGATTCATTTATACAATATTGTTATTATAATATTGATGGGACAATACTTATTACTAAATGGAACAATAATGCTCCTAGACACCTACAGCACTTTACCAATAGCGGCCGAAAATCAAAGGGATTCGCAATTGAAAAAGAACTTACTTATTTTTGAATACAAAAACTATACCAATGGCATCCTTACACAACTCATCCATTCAACCTTTTCTTCCTCAGTCTCAACGATTAATTTAAAGAACTTCAAATAGAACTTAGATTCAGTCATGGATGTATATTTGTCTTTCAATCACACAATAGGCAAACATTACTATAATACAACATAAATGGTACATTAAACAGTGTATATATAATATATATATATATATATATATATATACTGTATATATATAAATCATCAAAGAAAGGTAAATACAGGACATAAATACATCATGTAGCACAGCTCTCATTTATCGCTCTTGATTCTGTCTCTTTTATTACTATATTTTATCTAAATACAAATATTTTTTTGTTACACATGGAATACTTCATATTAACACTTACTTCACAAACTTTCACCAGAATATTGGATTTGTTCTGTTCATAGATTTACAGAAAAAAAGCTGAATATACAATAGAGAAAACTCTTAGTATATAAATATATATATCGGTCACTAAAATACGTTTCTTTCATTAAATAGAAAAACTGGTCACACATAAAAGGCACAATAGTATGTTTATCATTGTCAATCATCTTGCCCTTATAAAAATAGAATATTAATCTATAATCCACCATGATTTTAATAATTAAATATCAGTAAAAAAACATGATTTTTTTTACTAAGTTGCTCACTCAAATAAGCATCCCTGCAATAATTTTGTTGGGATAAATATCACCGCGCTTAATCAAGAGTAAAACCTCATAACTTGTCTTGATATTTATATCATTGAGAATCTTATTACAAATGATTTCTCACATTATTAATATAGTTTTAGCAGGTTAGATAAGCCTTGCACAACATATGGCGAGCCAAATGGCCCAGCAGTTAAAGCAGGGGTGCCGCAACATACAGCCATAATAACGGCGCTGGTTCGAACAGCACACTCTCCTATGGTTCTGGAGGTGGAACAAGTCTTCTCGGATTTGGCTCATGTGCACTTTAAAGAACCCAGTACATCTTTCGAGGCAAGTAGGGGGTACCCTGTTGTACTTGTTCATACAGCCTGTTGTGGACAACTGGTACCGGTTTACCAGGTCTCTCAGGCAGACCCTTAGGGGAGAAGACAGTTACTGTGCGAGCTTGTACACACCTCAAGCGCTTTGAGACTCCGGTATAAATCACTATATAAATCGAACTACATTACATTACATATGGCAGCATATATACAATTCAATAATTAGTAACAAGCACCATTCTCAAATTAGCGCTTCCCTCAAATAAACCTCTAAAAATTGTATAAGCGCCACAGTATTTATTTGTTCATTCACGGTAATCCATTTTGATATATTTGTTGATGACTTTATCACTCACCGAGGTATTTAACATTTGTCCTTAATTGCTCAATAATTTTACAGTATGAAAGCATAACAAGGAATATTTATAATTAATTTTCATTATTGTGTAATATATTTTAAAGCGTGAATAAATACATTATAATCTTAATTAAAAAAATAAACATCATTTCATGTTTTCCACCCAATGATATTTCAACACTAGGACTTTAAAAATAATTTAGTATAACAATACAGAAAAGACTTGAGAACAACACAGTATTATCAAAGACTCTGATATTTATCTATTTTAAAATAGATTGTAATATGTACATCTTGAAAGAAAATATCCATTTACATAATTTTAAAAAATAAAGAGAAAATCACACAATAGTGCCTACTGATTCCTTATAATTCCACTTCAGACAAAAAAAGATGCAGTGCGGCAAGGAAGGCACAACAATCGTTTTTTATGTCAATCTGCTAAGTCTGTTGATATTAGGGAGCATCAATTTCACGACGACGGTCGGACATAGAACGTAATGACGTCAGTAAAAGTCACCTGCGCATGCAAGAACGTTAAGGTAGATTCTGGAACGTAATTTGGCCAAATCTACATATGCAGAGAAGGTAGGACGCCAGGTGGGATGAGTGATTCCGTTCTAGCGTCGCGTCATCACACAAATCGAAAGCTCCCTATCAGCAAATGGCACCGCGTTGTCTAGCACTCACAGAGAGCTGAAATGGATTCGTCAGCTCACGGTACTTCAATGGTCATAAAATGCAGCATGTACCTGGCTTCACAAATTAGCTGTCTCGGTATCAACTTGCTACTTTTTCTGGTACTGTTGTTCCCATGCCTGTAATTGCATTATGGTTTCATGATGGTTAGGTGGTAGGTTGGTTAGCAACTGCTCCGCAATTCTGTTTCGTAGCTTGCTTCCAACCTTTCAAAAAAAAACAACAGACTCTTGCATAATACAAAATCTTTAATAATTAGCATTAAATTTCTTCAATATATCTTGTTGATATTTGTTGTGTTTTTGATATTAAATTTGGATACCATACATTATTTTGTAATTGTAATGTAAGTATTTATGATATAAATAATTTTGAGATTATTGGGTACTGCCAATACGCTGACTAATAGCTGCAAATACTCCTTGGCTCATAAGCTTGTCCTTTTTTTTTTTTTTTATTAATTCTTGCGATGTAATTATCTAAATGTAATTTCCTTTTGGACAATAAAGTTATCTTGATTCTTGATCTTGATTCTCCTTTATAAGGATTTGTTTTAAATGACCATGGTAATGAGGATTCAAACATGATTCAAAAGAGGTATTTGCATTGTTTGGTAAAAGATCAATGTCATTATTTAATCATAATTATTATCATGGATGTTTGTATTGGCTTACTAATTAAATGTGCAATGTATTTTATTATACCTTAAATTATTAGACTCGGTTTTAATTTTTTTCCTTATTAATTGTAATAAACATTTTTAGCTGTGTGCTACCGTTTTGTACACTTTTTTTATATACCGAAATAAAAAAAAAGGGGGGAAAAAAATCATAATCATCATCATTATCACCACTACGATTATCATAATCGGCAACATGACAGTCTTCATCACTAGTACAATATTTCAACACTTTTAAAACTCACGGTTTGTGGTCTTTGTGTTGTCCTTATTGCATCCTTATTATTTTGACCATTTGACCAAGGCTCAGGGGTCAATGACCTCTGTTGGTAGTTTGGTGGAAAGTTGTTCACTGGATTAGGACTCGGTGAAAACTTACTACGGGATCTTTTATCTGATGACTTTGATCGCATAGCTGCAAGATAATTCAATAATTCATATTACTACAATGCAGTGTAAACAATGCATGAAGGTAAACACAATTAGTAAATCTTAACAGTTTGTTTTGTGTGAGCTATACATGAATCAATCTTGATTGGTCAGTCATTGCTCATCATTATTACTATATATACTTCCCTTTGCCAATACCATGTTATGAGAAATTATTGACAGAAATAAAAGTAGATATGAACATATAATGATACTGTACATGTCACAAGATGAACTCCAAACAATCTTGCATTACACTTCTCAAAATACATATGTTCAAAAAAAAAAAATTATCATATAATATTGCACACATAATGATTGAAAGTGAACTACAACTATGAAAAACCATCATATATTATGAATAACAATAATAAAAATGACACTACCAATCGAAAGCCAAAAGTATTGTATGAAGTTTAAGGAAGTGTCAGGTTTAGGCAAGTATTTTCTCACCCAGCACAAAGAAGCCCGACCCATACAGCCCGACTGGTTGCCATTACAACATGAGCGAACTAATCTCAACCCAATTCCCAGTAGCCTGATAGACATTAGAGCTCCAGAACCAGTATTACAATACGGTCAACAAATACACTTTCTGTATGACAGAAGATTGTGTGGTTTAAGAGCAGACAAAAGATGTTTTTTCAGACAAATTTTCATTCATTCATTTATTCTTTACTTGCAATTTTTAAATTTAGCCGTCTTGTCTCTTCCCCCAATTTACTACATTCCTAGGCCCACCACCTTGTTCCATGTATGTGACAAACTAAATCATCTAATGCAAAATGTCATCTCAATACGAAAACAATAGTGTTCCAGTTGTGAATAACAAAATATGAGGTACCTTTAACATTAATACAATAACTTACACCCTTTTGCCAAATAAAGTTCAAAATTGAAAGAACAATTTCACTTTTGTGGTACTTTTCTTCCGTAGTGCAAATCTATAAGTGGAACAGTGAGATAGATAGCAAGAACTGAGGGTATTGGTGATCACAGGAATTTGTCACATGCAAACATGAATTGTTTGGAATTTTGAAGTAAATGATGTGAAGAGGTTAAAGAAAGTTCTATTTTTAACCAGCCAAGATATTTGAGTGAGCATACTCAGAAGGATGTACATAGCAACGGCCATTTAACTAAAATGACTGACTTTGATTGGCTATGCCAATTTTAAAAATTAAGTTCTCTTAAATAATGTAGCTTTTAAAGCAATTAGAGTAGGTTTTGACGCATATTTTTTTTAAAGTATTCAGAAGTATATTTCTCAGTTTGATTAAAACAAACGCACTAAGTTTTAATCAATGTAACTATTATGTGAAATTATTCATTTCACGTAACTATTATGTTAGTATAACACCCACAAAATGTTGTATTAATCAACAGTTATTATAATTGTAAAAACATGGTAGTGTATGGTTAGATATATATGGTACATTAAGTGTGCATTGATGAATACAAATATATATTATGAATGATGAATAATATAGTTTGTTAGATGAGGTAAATTTCAGTTTCATCCTTGGTGATACTTACGTGGCAACTTTACTGGATTCATAAAGCCTGAAGTAAGGTTTAAAGAAATTGACGGGTTAAAAGACAATACTTGCATGCACCCCCAGCATATGTTGTTTCATTGTCATTATTTCAACCAATCAGCAAGAGAGCCAGTAACTTAAACTAACAAATTAGCACAAGAGCCAGATACTTGAGAATAGGACAATCAGTCCCAGGAACAGATTAATAATCAAAAGAGATATCGCTGGCAAAGTTATAATATACTACGCTCATGTAATTATTTTTCATGCAAAACATAGTCCATAGTTACCATGCATGCATAATCATACAAAAGAGTGTAATAGTTTTACAATAAGTACTGTTCTTATTAAATTTTATGAATACTATACCTACTTCATTGTATTATTTTATGTAACACAGCTAGTGTCAATTCAGTAAGCATATTTTTAATATTGCTGTTAAATTACAAAATGTTAAATTCGTTTATTATAAAATAGTTATTATTCAAAATCAAATTTTAAATATTAGTAATTACTATTGCTTATGATGAATGACTGATAAAAATTAATGCTTCAAATATTACTTTTATCTAAATCAATATAATTTTGTTACTTAATTTCATATGTATAGTTGTATACTGTGTTATATATTGCTGTTTTTTCATCATGATCAGGATCATTGAAGTCATATATATAGTCGTCATATATATAATAGTCATGATGTGTTTATATATGGTCATGATGTGATGTCATCATGACCATATTTAGACATGTCACATGTTTTTGTCAAAATTTAATAGTATGGACAGGCCTTAAGATATATCAACTCTACACACATACACACAATCAGCAGTCACCGTATGGTCCACCCAACTAGTTGCTTTATCTGTAAATACAAAATTGACTTGAATGAATATAACACAAACATTAACTACACAAGTGCATGTACTTACTCATGGATGTGTATGGTCTGGAAAGACTTGTTTCCTGTTCATAGTCATAGACTTGTGTTTGAAGCTCATCTACTCTTGAGAATGCATCCAACTTCAGCGTCCTCTCATGTTCCAGCTGCTGCCTCATCTGGCTGGCATCTCGCTTGGATTTGTCTTGGTACATTTGGTTCAGTCGAATACTCCTTGAGAAGTCATCGGTTAAGGCTTTTAGTTTTTCTTCTTTGGCCTCTGCTTCATGGATCTACAGATAAACAGTGTCTTTGTAAACATGAGGCATAACTTGCATAACATGCCATAATTTGCACATACATCTATTCAAATGTTTGGTTAAGCTTTCTTATGTGGGTTATTTTACTATTAATATGCAGTGCTATTTATTCTATATGGATTTATTCGATAGTTAAGTACTGCTAGGACGATACTTTACCAATTTTGACATGTTTGCTGCCTTGGCAATCTCCAGTTGCCTTGCATTTCTGGCATGCTGCTCTTCCTTATGCTTTTTCTCCTTTTTTATCTGCAACTATTAAAAGAACATCAACAAAATTATTAACCAGTTAGACAAAGCAAATTCTTGTTTTACATAGATTGAATATGGGTACCTAGGGTTGCCTACTACTGTGCCAACAATATGGCAGCAACACTTAAGAACATGTGGACCCAACAACCAGGAAAAACAAAGTTCTTGGTGACCTAAAGGACAAGCGCTAATATTACTAAATAAAAAATAAAAATAAATCAATCAATCAACCAACCAATTAATTAACTAATCAACCAAGCAATCACCCTATTAATCAACTACAGTAATGGTAATGGTAGAATATATTTGCAGAGGCCTTCCCGATGTCACCACAATAGAGTACACGCAGGTACACTGCCGTCAGAATGATGGGCTCCACCAGCTTACGCTATGATAAGGCTCGGCTCTACTACCAATCAAATAACCAAATAATAAAAATCAACTAATCAAAAAAAAAAAATAAATCAATCAATTTTCTGACATCATAAGCATGCTTAGAGCATTAATGAATTGTTTATCATCCTCTGTCCTTCAAACATTCTTCCTTTTTTACATATATTTTGTGTTCTCAAACTTACTTCTTTATCGATTTGTTTCTGGATGGCTTCTCTTTCTTGCTCAGATAAACTGAGAGCAGACTTTAAAGAAACAAGTTGTTGTCGTAGCAGGATCACTTCCTCTTCTGCCATCAATTTGATTTCAAGGTAGTCTCGCTTGCACTGGTTGGCATCACTGTGAAGCTCAGCAATCTAAGATTTGGGGTAAAATAATCAAACTATTAAATCAATTCAAATAAGATTGACATCACTATCTCAATATTCAAGTCTAAATTTTATGCATAAATGGTTAAAGCTAGAATAAGATTTAAATCTATAAATAGATTTAATAGCAAATATGCCGCGAACAAGTTCACACCACTCGATAAACATTATGTTAGCTCAAATCGATATGTCTAAACATTGCCTAATATATTTATCTTGCACTAACCTCCTTTTTATATTTAGCTCTCATCTTGGTAAGCCTCCAACTGTTAACAGTTCTCAGCTTACTCAACATTTTGTTCAACTGATCATTTTCATGCCGAATCTTGCGCAACTCCTCTGCTTTTGTCAACTTGTGCTGCAAAGCATCTGGTATAAAAATAACGTTGAGACAAATCAGAAAATGTTTACACAATTCTATAGAGTACTATGTAAGTACAATCATCTACTACACAACACTGTCAGGCCAACCACCTACTACCATATTCAATACAGCGGAGTGCCATAGCTTTTTCAACTAATGGTCTGTAAGCTAGTAATCATGCTTTTTAATTTCATTTAATTATCCCTTGAATCTAATCTTATAAGGAGATAAAAATTATTTTAAGAAACTAAATTCTTACTATCAGGAGTACTGGTATTGTCATGCTTGATGCTTTTGAGTTTGCTCATAGCCATCACTGCATCCCTCCTCACCTCACCAACCGTTGTGAACACCTGGTCATACAGATGTGTCCTATCAAAAAAAAAACAAGAATGTATTGCACATGTGTCAAACAAAATATTACACCTGTCTATTCTACAAGGAAATATGATCTGATGAACACAATTGTTAAAACTAAACATATGCACTTTTAAACGGCATTAAAACCTGGGCTTTCAAATAACTGTCACTACTAGCCAGGGTTGTCAATGCTGAGTCCCTTTTGGTTCTGCACAACACGATTGACACTATACATTTCCAAAGAACACTGTATATATTTAGTACTGTAATTATTATTTGTTTCATTATTATATATTAAATTTTTATAGGAAAAATATGATATAAATTACAGTTCGCCCTTCCACTTTGAGACGAGTTTGAGGGTGCACTTTACCTGAATTCATCTAACTTTCCTTTAAGTCCAAAAGCAACAGCAAACAAGTTTTGGATGAGGCTGTTGTACTCTTTTTGGAGTCGTTGCCTAAGCTCCTGCTCCTTTACCAATGCAGCTTCACGCATCTCAGATATCTTAGCACGCAGCGACGTTACCTCTATATCGGCAACAAAATAGTTGAGAAAATTAATATTGACATGTAACATTGTTTAATCATTTTAACAGAAATTATAGAACAGAAGGAATAGATGGGAAAATAAATTTAATTGAAACATAAATGTAAACCACAATTCCATAAAAGTGCATAACATGTTTTATATAAAGTGTGTTCCTTTTTTAATTTTTTAAATGAGACTATCCTAATAATTTTTTAATAGGAATAAAACAAACAATGATATTAGGTCGTTATCCAGGTAAGTATGCAAGAAATGGACTGCAAAACTAAAGCTGATGAAGCAAAAGCCTTAAAAAATGTGACCACAAATAATGATTAATTGAATTTTAATATTTTCATTATAAACATCATGCAATTCAGCCGTTAGGCTGCAATTTTGATGTGTTTTTGAATAAAGAATACAAGAAAGAATGCTATAAAATGGACTAACCCAGTATAAGCTCATGACTCTTATCAGCCAACTGACATTGTACGTCAACCAATGAGGACTCACTGAGAGCAGAAGCCATTTCATTTGCATGCTTGATTTCCTAGAACAATAATAAGAACAATAACACAGCAATAAAAATGACAATATAACAATAGTGAAAATGTTAAATTGTTACAATATTAACTCGGTCAATAAAATGCTCTCTTGGTATAAAGTAGATCTTTGGTTCAATTCCTGATGGGTAATATTTTTTTTTGTCCATTTGCATTTCATCTGTGTATTTATATAGATACACATTTATATAATTTAATCATTTAAAATAAATCTTTAAAACAAGAATCAATAAATAATAAAATATTAATATACAAGAATTGATAAATAATAAAATATTTAAAAGAATGAAAAAAAAAAAAACATGACATGATCAGCTGATCTCTCCTTACCTGTTCTCGTTGGTAGATTATCTGGTGTTGCTGACGAAGGATGTTTTCATAAAACATGGAATAGTTATCATAATTACTTCTTTCTCTTGTCATCACCATGGAAGCAAGTTTAGACAGGGCCAAGTTAAGGTGTTCTTGTGGAATCACAAAGTCTTCTCCTTTCTGCTGACCTTTGTCAAGTAGAAGTCTCGTGAATTCTTCAGCAATGTGAGGTTGGGCAATTGTTAAGCGTTCATTTATTACCTAAACGATTCAGAAAATATTTAAATGATGCTTGACGTCATTTAAATATTCAGAAAATATTTAAATGATGCTTGACATCCCAAAACCAGTGAACTGGTGGTAAATGTTAAACTAGATAATTAGCATATGAATGTTTCCAGTATTCTATACTTTAGTACAGAGGAGCTGTAATACTTTTACTGTTGTAATATTAAGTCGATTCCATTAAATGACTTATAATTTTTAAGCTTATAATTTGGAGAATATGAAAATATTAAAAAGTTAATTTTCTTGTCACTTGTCACTGATGGTGGTTTTGGGATGGCAAGCCCCAAATACTCTTTAATGAAATAGAATCCCACATGAACTAACAAATGACACATGAATTTAAAACAAGCGGTCAATCCTAACAAGGCTTGAAAGCCACTCTATGGTCATGATGTCATCATGACCATATTTAGGCATGTCACATGTTTTCGTCAAATCAAATTTGATAGTCTGGACAGGACTTAAGGGGTTGTATAAAAAAAAAAAATGGGTAGCAATAGATTGATATCAGTTTACTCTAGGCTGCTACTTAATCTGCTAAGTAATTCAAAATCTTACTGGTCTTTTCCACAAATCTACTGGCAGGTTTCCTTCCTCCCGGCCTCGTTCTGCAACAACCAATGAATGTTCCCTAGATATTTTGCGTTGCAGTTCATAAATCATGTGATTTTCAAAGTTGTCCAAAAGCTTGACAAGTTGCTTGGCTCGAATCTCCATCTCAGAAACTCCCCTAGGAGCAACAATTGGCTCACTGTCTGAGACCATTCCATCATAATTTTTTTCCTATTATACGAAAAAAAAATAAATAAATAATTTCCATTATCAATGTCTTTGAAAGGGGTGTTCAAAGATATTTTCCTCATGTTTTACCTATATGGCAAACAATTATGCCACAGAAAATATAAAATTTAACTGTACTTGCATGGAATAATAATAGACTCTAAATTTATGATGATGATGATCATGATGTAAAACTCAGAAAATGATGAGGTCATAGGCAAAAGTACAGTATGAAAGATACAATTTCATGCCATGTTTTCCCTAGTTCACCCATTACAGAATGGACAGCAGTAACTTCTTTACATGTTGAATACTTACCTGTCCATATCGTCTTGCAATACTTTTTATAGTAGGGTACAAAATGTCTGTTTTGTATAATTTGCTGCAGAGATAAAAAGAAGTATTACAATTAGCAAGTATGAAATATATTAATATACAATGGTAATAAAAAGAAAACTATTAAAACATGGACGTCTTACTTGTCCTTGATGACAAAGATGTGGAGGATTTTTATCCTGAATATGGAAGTGGTGATTCAGATGATCTGCTATATCCGCTTTTTGAAATGAAGCTTGTTTACTGACAGTTTTATAATTTAAATTTTATTAAAATATGTTTAAAGGATATGAACACATAAAGGAAAGCAATTTTCCTTACCAAAACTTTTTATAAACTTGTGCTTTCCCAATTGACTCCACTTCCAACTTTCTTTTGCCCCATTCATCTTTAAAAACCTCAAGCCTCTTCCATAGCAACAGGAAGTTCCTCAACAAGGCATATGCTTCCATTGGCTCGGTAGTACGGGATAGGGCTTTCTTGGATACAGCTGGAATCAAATGAATTGCATCACAAAAAAATTAAAACAAAATGTTTTACAAATTGATTTAAAATTCATCAGTGAATCAGACACTGTACACTTGGGCTTTTATTGATTCAATTTCATTTATGCAATGCCTTGAAAAACATGTCCCCAATGAGTGTGCAAGATTGATATCAAGCTCAGTCATATAGAACTAATACCCAAGTTATTATCCCTCATAAGAAAAATAAGAATGACCACATAATATGTATCTATTATACACAGTGCTGAGATGGACAATTCCATTAATTTTCAAGGTAAGTTCCTATAAAAGTAACTTGGCATATGTTGGTTCATTCAATTAAAAAATAGACCGAATTCATCTTACCTTTTTCTTTCTCTACCTCTTCCTCAATATCAGCTCCCCTGGCACTAGCAGGTCTTGAGGTTTCTGACTTTGTGCTGATAGCACTCCGTGGACGAGAGCGTGGTGCTTTCTTAGGAGTGGTAATGTTATTATCATCAGAATCACTGTCATCAGCCAGCATACTGATGTCTTCCTGACCACTCTGCAGGACATCCTCCATCAGGAGAGATACACCCAGTATCTCTCCATTAGAGACATGTCTGTCAACATCTTTAAGACTTGCTAAACACAGCTGCATTCGACTCTCAATCTGGTGAAACTGCCAGAACTGTAGTGGAAATGGACCTCCACTGGAAAAGATAACCACAAATGAAAGGTAATCACTTACACGAGGTAAAATTTAATGTTATTGTTAATGGTTATAGCTCAACGTAGACAAGGAGCCACTATTTAAGAACCTCACCTTCCAAGAAACGATCTCCATGGGAACAATAATTTAGCATCTGCATCTCTAGGCTCCAGTGGTTCTGGCACAGGGAGGTACATGCTGTTAACAGTTGGCACCTGTATATTGCTTATGCTAGGTAGGGCGTAGTAGATGTTGTCAGTCACACTATTGTAAGCCAGGGAATTAGATGTGGAGAGGAAGGTGTCTCGCAGGGAGTGTCGAATACTCGTCTCAAATTCTAGAAACATGACAGCCTTTCTCAGAGCTAAGAAATCTGCAACCTAAGTAGAAATTTTATCATACGTTTCATGATATATAAAAATACAATTTACTGCATAAATACATTACGAAGTAAAAAATATTCTATTACCATAGAAGGATTTGTAGGATCTTCTAAGTTGTTGATCTGTTTTTGAATTTCACGAAGCTCAGCTGAGATGCCTTCTGTTCCACCCCAATCAGCCGTTGCAAACTCAAGTCTCTGAGAGCCAAGCCTGCATAAGTAAAAGGAACAAGATCAATTTGTTTTGTGATATGAATTAAACTTTATTTACCAACAAAGTCTAAGCTTCTAAAATGTGTTGACTGCCTTAAACACGTTCATGCAGAATTTGTCTCCATTAGCAGAAAATGGTCCAAGCAAAATTTATTACCCAAGTTTTTTTTCAAAAACTTGGGTAATAAATTTTGCTGGTTTGTTGAAGAGCTATGGGTTCTTAAATTTATTTATTGCCACTGAAGCCCATGAGATCGTTAAGTTTAGAAGTGAGTGATTGTAATAGGTTGCCTGTTTTAATTCCAATGACTATAATGTCACCAGCCAGCCATTTCTGAGGACCCTCTTGTTAACTCCCAATGGACCTTAAACCTTAATAGCTTTTGCAATACCAAGGTTGTAACTTAGCCCTGTTAAGTGTTATATTGAAAAATATTTAAAAAGACTTCTATTGACAAATTCTTGGTACAATACTACTATTTAGAAGCTGTGGGCTTTTATGCACATGTTATAATGACTCAGATGCAACAAGTTTTTTTTCCTTTCCTTTTCCTCATTTTTTTTTGTCATGGATCTATAAGGTATACACTATAATGAAAACATAACTTCTTCATGTATAACCTAAACTGTTTCCATTATGTTCAGTAACTAACACACCATGGAGAAATTAGTTTAGTTGAGCTATACTAATTCCTCCATTAACACTATAGCTGTCAATGTCATGGTCTGATTAGCCTAATGGTCCTATGTGATTTACTGTTTATACTCAAGTAAAAACCAAATAAGTTAATTTTATGGAGCTGCTGGCAGCTCCCTCTGGACCATCTGACAGCTCACTCTCAACCACCTGACAGCTCACTATGGGCCATTTCTGCTAATGGGAATTTGTGCCTCATGTTCTTTACCATGAGCAAGAATACTCATTTTACAAAGCACTGCGGAAGGGCCATGGACGAGTACACTTGCAGATAATAATAATAATAATAATAATTCTTTATTGGTCCTCATTCTAATTGAGCTGGGCTCCCGCGGCAGCCACATTGAAGCACCACCCAACTGAACTGCAACACTTAATGGACACATACGGATACAAACATTGTCCTTAACCCGCTTAACTCTCAATGTTAAGATGCCGATTAAAACCTGACACTGGCCAGGTTTGAACCAAGGTCTTTTGCACAAGAGGCAGGAACAAAACCTCTCAGCCAACCTGCCATTCTTTTGTATCTTATACTACTATTACGATGGTGGTGCTGCCTGCCACAACTACCGATGGGATTAATATTATGACATACAATTGAGAATATATCTACTTGGTAACACGTTTTTAAGACTTCTTTGGCAATAGGGAGACCTTTGTCATACTGCGGAGCAGCAGAAAGAATTAACAAGTCAGTTTTTCTCAGTAAGTATTCACAAAAGTAGACACTGCCATACTTTACCTAGCATGGGAGCTTCCAAGTTTTGCATGCGCACAGAGGTATTGCAGAATGTCATGCAGAGACGCAATGATTCTGAGAGTCAGAAGCAAACCACTGATGCATGATGCCTCATCCAAGTTCTTGAACATCATCAGTACCTCTGAGTGATGTGGAAGGAACCAAAGATTCAGCAAGGTGGTGCCATCTGAGGACAGAAGACGCCTTGGTCTTCTTTTGATTGTTCTGCAATTCAAAAATGTAACAGATGTATACAGTGTTTTCATTGAATTATGAATAATTTATCAATATTAATCAATTCAATAATTTGGGTATGAATAATGTCAAAATTCTAAACTGTTATTATCTTTTAATTTGTATTGTCTCTCTTTTCTGGATTTTTTTTCTATTATATGTATATGTACAACCACTGACTATTGACAATGCAAGGCACAATTAACTAAAATACAGTTATGATTTTGGAACCATTTTTTTACCTTGGATCAGCCAGGAGTCCATCTTTATCATCCAGCTTTGTTTTCTTCTCTCCAGGCATTCCAACCATGAAATGGGAGTTACGAAGACTTGGAAATCCTTCCAAAAGATCCTCGATGGTATTCAAGTATGCAATGATCTGGGCACGCAGGGAATACTGCGAAATTCTTCGCATAAATCGTTGACAAAACTCACCAATCAATGTCCTTCAATTCAGATTAAATATTTATATAATTAAAATAATTTAACTGGGATATATAGATTCATTCAGGCAACTATTCACATAACAGAAAATGCTTTCTTTTAGGCCCTCAAACAAGAAGACAACAAAAGATTGATAGAAATGTGTTAAGATTAATAGAAATCTCTATTCTAACATTCTGTTACCTTTTAAGCTTCTCTACTTCCTCTTGGTTCTTGAGTACTGTAGCCATTGAAGCTTTCTTGTTCAAGTAATTATTTAACATCACATCACGTGAAGGAGCCTAGCAAGTCAACAATATCAAAATAAAAACATTAAGTGTTTTTTTCCAAATTAGTTACAATTAGATTATAATACTGCAATATATTTACTTACTTTGTTAATTATGTATCTTGGACATCACCTAAATATGTATACTTATGTATTATACGTGTATAAATTTGTTTTTTATAAGTTGATGTATTGATTCAAGTGATTAATGTATATGCATTATCAGAGATATCAATATTCATAATACAATACCTTTTCCAGTTGTATAGACACAAAGGCCTCTGGAGACCTGCGTATCCTTCCGAGGCTAGTCTTCAGTTTAGCTGCATACATGACTGATTGTGTAACACCCATTATGGAGGTATCTGCCGCTTTTGGCACCATCAAGGAACTGTTGTCACTATGCAAGTCTGCATCCATTAAACTTTATAATGAAATATAATTATATGTTGTAATAATTTCCAATCTAACAAGGACTTTACTAGTTCCCATTGTCTATAGCTACCTATTTGTCATACCTTTCAATTAAAAAGACAAGATTTTAATATATTTGTTTAACATCACAATCCTGCATATATAACAATACACTGCTTTACATACAATGTTTCTTAGTATAACATAAATATCTGATACAAAATTATTCAATCATTATATGATAAAATTGCTGCTGAATTACAGCCTAAAATATTTTAACAAACTCTAAATTTCTCCAAAAATGGCAAATGTCACTTAATTCTCAAGAAGAAACACTTTGTCAATCCTGTGGGCGGTACATTCCAAAGGCAAACAGTTATATATTTTAACATCTGAAATATGACTGAAAATTGCTTCACATCCAATCACTGAATGCACAGCTCAGGGTGTTTATTTTTTAAAACTGATATGGAAGGATGAATCTGGGATCACCAAAATAATACATGACACATAAAAAAATGAAACGTAATTGTTCTATCATAAGTCAATCATCTTCTATTCACCTGGCATTATGTACAACAACTAGTTTAGTTTACTCACTTGTGTGGTTGATCTTGAGATTGTTGTTCTCGGAAAAACGAGCAAATACTAGCCTGCTGAACGGCACTCAAGAGGGCATTCTTGTGCACAACCTGAGCCATTAACACAACCTGTAGACTTTCCATACTATTGCCACGGAGAACCTTTGGGCAGTAGACAATTAGCAGTCAGTAAATATAATTAATCCTCAACTTTAACAAAGAAATTAGATGCCACTCTATTATTACTAAGGATAACTATGGTAATAACAATTTAAACTTATCTATTCAACATGAAGCATGATTTCCTTAAAATTGCTACACTGTGACAAAATATAATATTTCATAATATGGTGACTGTATGTATCCTAAGAAGATTAATTGCATGTACATTATGACTGAATTAACTGCATTTATTATACAGCTCCCAAGTCATTATTTAAGTCTCACCTTAAGGTAGCCATCTCTTGTTCTGAAACTGAATGTACCAACATGCTTCTCATCAAGCTCATGAACTGCCAAGAACAGGCTAGATGGAGTGTACCTGGTGGTTGAGTGAAAGCTGCATTTTAAACTACTAATGAATATGTAAATTATAAAATCAATATAGGTCATGATTATTCAAAAGCACAGATGAATATATTATGATTCATGAATGATTCATGATTTACAAAAAGGTATAAGTTATTATGTTGATCTTTGCAGATATTTATGATGAATTATATATATGTATCCTACAGTTTTTTTTTTCATAATCTTACATTAATATATAGTATTGTTAATTAAATTAAATATGTGCACTTTGAGTAATACCATTGTCATAGTGCACTGAACATTGCATTGTGCTGTGGATATTGGCCCTATACAAATCCTTGTTGATTGATTGATATAAAAACACTTTTTAAAAACTTAAAATAGGTCTTTCAGTTCTGACTTTCACTTTCTGGCAGATCTTCACTCTGAATTTCTAAGCCCTGGTAACTAGGCATATTTATAACCTTGCCTATTTTATACCTGTCGAGATTTGAGTCATCTTCTTGCAAAGCAGTAATAAATAATGGTGGAGGCTGATCTGCATTTTCCTTGAAATTGGCAAACTCAAACTGAACACATCTCAAGAACATGTGGCAATCATCAAATCCAAGCTCATTTGCATGTACACGATAAAGCTGTAGAGGACAGTTAGAATATAATACTCAGACAAAAGGTTTAAGTTTAAAAAGTATTAAATAGAACTGAAGAGAAAAATTAACAACTTACATTTGACAAAACTTCAGTTTCAAATGCTGCATCCATTAAACGAAATCGTAAGGTAATTGTCTGTAATATAGAAAAATAAATAATTTTAATTAAATTGTATATTTGCCTTAAAGAATAATCAATATTTATAAATATGTAAGGATCTTACACATGAAATAACTAAATTGATATATAGTGTAATAGAAAAAAAGAGTCAATGGCTTTATTTCTTTTCATTACCTTCGCGGTACCTTCATCAGGTGTCAAGTGGCAGTTGACTCAACTTCCAAGACATATATATTATTAGGCGTACCACAACTTTACCACCAGCTTATTATTAAGTATGCTACAAGCTTATTATTAGACACAGGGGCGGATCCAGAAATGTCCAAAAGGGGAGGGCCGGAAGGGGGGGGCCGAAAGTTGGGCCGATTGAGACAACACTGTCCTAGGGGGTCTGGGGCATGCCCCCGCGAATTTTTTGTGTTCTAGACGCCCGAACATAACATTTGAGGCATTCTGGGCTATCACTTTTTTCTTTTTCTCTCTATTTTCTTTTTTTTTTTTAACCTCCCAAAAGGGGGGTCGGGGCCGCTCCTGAGACATACAATACCTCAAGCAAGCGATTCCAAACTTTTAGAATATCTTGTTGTTTCTCTGTCTGACTCCGCCTACCAGCTGTGGCTTCTATTGCATTCAGCATCGACTGACCCATCTCACACATAAATAAAGGATCCTCAGCAAACACATCTGAGAACAACTGTAGGAGATAAATTAGTTTTCTATTATCCTATGTTGGCAGCGGTAACAAAAAAATTAACATCACGTGACAGACTTCTAGCACATTATTCCTTCAGAAACACTCTCATGTCAACAAATTTATGAATATTTTATGGATTTGCATCAAACTGATATCATTATCATCAGCCTGTCAGGCCACTGCTGGCTGACGGCCTAATCAAACTCAATTCTGGTCCATTTTTTCTCCCAGATTTGCCCAGTTCACACAAAGGAAAAGATCACTCCATCTCTTGTTTGGTCTTCCTCTTTTTCTTGTTTCCACATGGCATCAACACTGTTAACTTGTTATAACAAACAACCACAACTACTACCATTATCACCACATGTTAATTGATAATATATATATATATATCTGTCTCTTATACACATCTAGATGTGTATAAGAGACAGGCATATGCATGCTCCCTCTATTGTTCCATCTATTACAATGTTATTTGTATCCATTATATTTCCATCTATTACAATGTTCTTCTGTCTGCTTTTTTCTGGTAATGCAATGTAAGTACTGTACCAAAATATAGGGAAGTTCTACATGAAAATTACCAACACATTCTAGGTATTACACTGTCATTGAAATTCTTCTCTGCGAATAAGTGACGTTAACATAAATTAATCATTTAGTGATGATTAATTGATTTATTGAATCCTTATTGATTGATTGATTGACTGACTTATTGATTTCTACTTGATGTTTCATCCTTACAGCATGTTTGACTCGTAGCTTGTGAGTCCTTGGAAGTCCGACCCCATTCTCCTTCAGTCTTCTATCCTGGTCTTTCTCCAAGTAATGGGTAGCAATAAGCAGTAGATCATGTTCTAGATTCCTATACAAAATAAAAAATATCATCATATTTATTATCATTATAAATATAGATATCAAAGCATCTATGATAAATCTATATTTTAACACATACACTCTAAACATCAATAAATAATTGGCTGTATGCCACATCATTTATGTTAGAATAAAAAAAGCTAAGCCTTACTTGAGGTCTGCTAATGCTACATCATAGATGATGTAATAACCCCTCTGGTCTTGTACATGCACCCTGCCTTCATCTATGCTGTAGTAATCATCGTGGTTCTCTATCTCTGAAAATTCCATGAAAGCACTTTCCTGCAATCTATGAGCCAGAAAAACATATGAAATTGTCCTTAATATTAAGAAAAAAAAATTGACCCATGTTACATATAAATACCATCAACAGCAGTGCCTGCTAGGGTGCAAATGTAAAGCATTTTAAAGAATAATTAAAATGCTTTAAAAAAAAATACCAAAGATGATGTTAAACTAGTCATTTTAAATTTCATTTTTTTTCTTTATGTACACTGGAATACCTATTCAGTAGCTGGGTACTATTCTTCTGCATGGTAGCAATACACTCTACACTTAAAAAAGTACTGAATTCACAACGAAGAACAACTTATACAAAATCTATGCTTGTTGCTTAATTACATTATTATAATAATAGTATGTTAGTTAATACTACTAAAATAAAAATTTTCATTGTAAATCATTGATTTCATAATACTTCAATCCATTTACTTTTCATTGTTATTGTATTATTTCAGGGAGTCACACGCCCTTTTGGCGACAGTAGGTTTCCTGCTTTTGCGACTCCCCGGCTGTAATGCCAAATGAATAAATAAAAAAATAAATAAATAAATAAAAATATTTAATTTAACTTACTTAAAATCAGCAGGTGTATAATGTAGGTAACCATGGTTACCAATTCCGACATTCCCTCCAACCATACCGCCATCATAGGTAGACACACGGTGATTTTGTTGACTAAAGTAAAGTAAAGTTGTAAGGCTTGAGATGTTGAATTGTTTTTGATAGTGAGAAAAATATTCATAAAACAATCAAAATACAATGCACAATCACTTGTGACTGTATAGCATCTACCTGTACATACATCATATTGAACAAAACAGAAATTAGCTGGACTCTGGACTAATGGGTGTTCCTGATGCTAATTTGAAGTTTTATTTTTTTGTCCACAAATCACTATTTTCTTGTATGTACCCATGAGCATCAAATAAATTCAATCAACCAAAGTAATCTAACTACTTTTTTACTTCAAAAAATGATTATCAAAACACAGGGGTCCCTACTTCAGTATTACTGTATTATTATTCTACTACATCAACTACTGCTGCTCCTGTTGCCACTTCTGCTATCACTGCTATTGCCGCCAACACTTGCTAGTGCTACTATTCTTTATACTCATTCTGATTATGTGACTAACCTCAATCGCTTCTGCTGTCCAGCTTCCAATGATAGTCCTCCGTCATTAATGGTCAATGTTCTTTCCACTGACCTGAAGTAATTCAGAATGCTCAGGCACTAATAAAAAATAAGATGGCATGTCATCAGGTGTTACAGTATATCAAAGATGTTATAAACACAAGATAGAATTCTCTGCGATTTACGCGTGCAAATTCTGTAATAATGCATGAATGGCGCCCTCTTGCAAAATTGAAAACTTTTGAACCTTGGCCGCTCTGACCATAGCGTATGCCGCGCGAATTTACGTTTACGCGTAAAAATTAGAAGCGTCCGATTTACAATGCACCCTCTCTTTAGAACACAAGGAACAAATTATCGTACTTGGTAACGAACCTATGGCCTAACGCAAACACCCTATCTCAGATCCAAGGCAACGACTAGGACGCCCTCTCCCAAAACTGATTACTTTTCTGTGCCAAATCGACTCTTCTATTTGTTACGCGTAAATCGCGGAGAACGCTATCTTGTGTTTATAAGATCTTTGCAGTATATCCAAACTGATACACAATTTTGGAAAGCTATGCTAGAGTCAGTCAAGAACTTTGTAATAGGTATGGTCGAGTTGACAGCAAAAAAGAATGACAAGGTGATGGACGTTGATAATGGCACGGTCATGTGGTTTATATTTCTGAGTGAAGAGAAGCAATGCAGATAAAGTGCCTTGCTCAAGGACACAAATGAATTGCACAGTGAGGGATTGAAGCCCCGACCTTGAGGTTGGGAAACCAAACCGTTTGCACTGCACACCAAAACAACAGTGAATAAAAACTTATTTTCTTACAGTTCTCTTGAGGTCTCTTATCCGCAAGTGCCTAAGGTTGAGAAGAGACAAGTATCCGCCTTGCATAGAGGTTGGATTCCGGCCAGCACTATCATCATCATCAAGGCCTAGCATTTGCATTGCACTCTGATAATTAAACTCCCCGCTACCCTCATCCTTCCGTCTATGGCTTGACATGGTTAGTGCAGTGGATCGTGAAGAACGACCTCCAAAGTTGACATTGTCTGTCTCCTTTTCATCAAACTCTGTTACTGACAAATCAACTTCTTTGCTGGAACTAATATCATATATCAGTTATTTAACAAAACAAAATTAAAATTAACATTGAAATTATTGTACTTGTTTGCTGCCAGAACATGAGTTCACGTCCAACAGGATTCACTCAGAACACCAGGACACAATTTCACGTTCACCCATGTCTAAACATACCACATTTGTATTGCATGTAAACTCGCGGGAAGTGGTTGCCAGAACGTGAACTCTCACCCTGGAGGTTCAACGAAGAACCCAGAAATCGCAAATCTAAAAATAAGTACTGTATGTTTGTTCATGTTTCAATCCAGTTGATGGGAATGATTTTCATTATGATGTGCCCATTTAATATGCCTTGGCATATGGAATGTAACCAGGAAAAAAGGCTTGGCAGTCAACATGTTAAGAGATTAAAATAATGTAGATATGTTTTAATATTAAATTAGCTCCTAAAGGTAAATTTAAAAAAAGGGTCTTAAGTCTCTTGACTTTTGACCTGCTTACCCATCATACAGTTTATGATTGCAGTATATCTTCCTCCAAATTGCATTTGTGTTTTTCTTTGTGCGGTGTGATGTCACTGATACAGCTTTGAATTCTGGGGGATCTTTGACCACCATTGCATGCTCTTTCAGTGCATCTTGGACTTTCTATAAAACAAAAAAATAAGTATCATTCAATATAGAGTTGTGTTTTGACAGGCACACTTTCTCCATTAAAGGTTTCTTCTACTTCTGTGAATGGAATGACCTGATCACAGCATGAACTCCTGAAGACTAAACCCATACCATTATGGCTATGTTCACACATGGCAGCCAACAGTTAGCAGGATCTGGGTCCTGCCCACCATTAGCTGCCGTGCGTTCATACAAGACAATCCCCAATCCAGATACCAAGAAGATGATGATCGAATCACTGGCCAATAGGGAACTGGAAATTGTAAACGCGTATGTGTGATTGGCTGATGATAGAAACAGGCTCAACTTGCTAACCGATAGCGCTTGGTAACCATTAATGCATCCGGAACATTGTAACGGTTAGCGCTAACCGATTGGGTGTTCACGCACGGGTGCTATCAGTTGAAATTTATGAGAAATTTACCTGCGTTGAATCTGGTATAATATTTAGAAGTAAACTAAAGTACTGAGCCACTGGACTGAAGCCTTCAAAAGTTGGCCTTAATGACAAGAAGACAATGATTCTTACCGTTGAATCTGAGATTGAGAAGAATTTTGACTGGGCTTTCAAAAGTTCATCAATGTTGTTTTTCTGCCGCAGCTTAGTCATGCTTTTTTCTTGTATTGGGTCCTTTATTGGTCTGATAACAACAGAAAAACAAAACTATAACTAACATCTAGAATAGGCAGTTATTGAAACAGGAATAATGGTACAGTACTAACCACATTTTAAATGTTTATATTAAAATATAGAGGGAGTTTTTTACACCTGGCGTCATTAACTACTTGAGGGAGTTTTTTACACCTGGCATCATTAACTACTTGCTAAATAAGAAAACAAAATTTTAATTTTATTTTTATTCCGCCCTCCTCCGATGATCTTTAAAAAAATAAGTACACGAAACAAGGAATAAAAAAAGTATTGATTTAATATTTTATTTTGCTTTTCCTTTATTTCATTCGTTCACAACAATGGTCTTGGTCTTGTAAGCAGGTGGTTTATGTTTGTATATGTTTGCAGGTTTAGCTTTATAAATAGTGCTCTAATATTTAGTTCATTAGTAACCAAGACTTACTTAAGTTTAACAAATGACAGCCAGTTGGCCTCCTTCTTCAAAGCATGTGAGGACATATCAGCACCCCAAGTCTCCCTACCTATCTGTAATTAATTAAAACCAGAAGCAATATACATTATATTTTTGAAAACTGAAAAATGTTATCAACTTTAAAATGGCTATTAGATAATGGTAGGCAATTTATATAGCAGATTTCAATAGATTGCTGTGTGCAGACAGAGAACAGTACAAAAAAGAAATTCAGTAGAAACAAATATATACACATATAAGAGGTTAAAATAAGATAAAGAGGAAATGGATGGTTAGTATTATAATTTATTTGTGCAATTTATGTGGAAATAACAAATGAATTTTAATAATCTGGAAAAACCTATTAACCTACCTCTAACTTATCATACATTGGGTAAGTCTTCTGTTGTTCTTGCTTGGCGAAGACTGTCTTAAATCTGCGATTAACATGTGTTATTAACTCCATTTCATCGGAAGAGCTGTGTACGGAATTTAGATCCTGGAAAAAAATATGAAAGATTACTTAATATTTCAGCTTATTAGTCAGTGAAAGATGCAAGAGAAAAAAAACATATCCCAAGAAAATCCAAGGACTCTTATATTGCTTAAGACTCATAGCTCAGTTGGTAAAGTATTCTGATGGTAATCAAAAAAGTCTTGGGTTCAAATCCTAGTGGTAACATACATTCTTCTCAAATATTTAATTATGACCAGGGGAGGTGTTTCTCCATACCAACAAAGTTACTATTAAAGATGTACTGTCCCTTGAAAATGACCAAAATCATAAAAAACAATTTTTAAATTAACTTGCTCATTTTGTAGTAACACAAAAATTATTCACTTATGCATAGAAATCATTTAATTAAAAAAAATGTGTTCCCTGATTTTTTAACTGGAGAATTATAATAAAGATAATAAAACACTTCCAGTGACTGGAAGTGTTTCTATCATTTTTTCGCTGAAAAAATGATGGTTTTTATGGGTAAGCATTTTTTAAATACAAAAATGGGCAAGTAAATTTCAAAAATGAATTTCATGATTTTTTTTTTGCAAGGGGCAGTACATCTTTAAGTGAAATAATGAGTATAATTTGCTTCTCAAATTGATTTGACAACTTATTCCAAAACAGCAGAATCAACACAATTGAAATCTCACCATATTGATTCCATAGCAAGTGCATAAAAACTCCAACATAGGTTTTATCTTCTCAAAATCTGACTCATGGAATGGAAGACCTAAATTGGTGCCATCAGATGCCGGTCCTCCCCCTGCTGCTGCCGCAGCTGCCATCCCAGCCGCTGCGTGTGGGATAGCGTTGGTACCTGGAATATTAACTGATGCAGATAATGGTGAGCTAGGCAGTGTCATTGAACTGCCAGAGGTTGGCCGGCCTAAGACAGACGCGGTGCTTGATACGAGTATTGAATGATGACTAAACCATTTTGATTGAGTTTCTGAGGAACCGTTTTCTTTTTTCTCAGTCGTCTTTTCCAGGCTTTGTTCTATATCATGTGGGACGGGTGGTACTGTGTCGTGCTTATGTTTTACTGGAACATACTCTAGAACCTAGAAAATGAATTCAAAGACAGGTTTTTATTAGAAGAGCTAAAACTCTAAATAGGAAAGTCATGTCAGACATGTATATTTAAAAAAAAAAACGTGGTCTGGGTCATCAAGACAGTGAATCATTAATAATAATTTTAAATAAAAATAAAATATTATTTTTGACCAATTAGTGCACCTGGTGCCACGAAAAAATTGAGGTGTTCCCAAACAAATTTTTTTATGCCCGCCACTGTATTGAAATCTCGAAATATAAGATATGTATATTTATTCCATCATCATTTAACCATCCCTTTAGTACACTGTTCAAATTCATCAATAACATTTTATTTTCATTTTCTCCTCCGTCTGGATGTTTTTGGCCAAAACTATTTGCTACATAAGAAAACAAAATGTTATGTTACTTTTCTTTCTAAGCTCCTCTCACAATCTTTGAAAGAATACGTTCGCGAAACAAGGTATAAAAAAGTCTCGCCTCAGGTTAATGCTATATTCAATGTCAAGTTGATCACGAGCCTGCATTAGTGGGTGTAGCATAGCTGTTGCTATGGAACATTTAAGTCATTGTTTATTAACTGCCTATTGCATCAATTTCTATGAATTCTATACTAAGCACCATTTTGTGTGATGCATTACCAAAAGTATTTGTTTACTTAAAAAAAACAAAAAACTACTACCAATCAATGTTGACATATTTTATACTTTGAAAGTGGACCATATAGTTTTTTTACCTGCTCAAAGTTATAGGTAAATAATAAAACTTACAACAAAGAATAGAACATTTCATGTGCACAGTACCTTTAAAAATGAATTGATTTTCTTAGTGGCATGAAAGTGACAGGTAAGCCATCGTGTATAGATCATAACATCCTCCAAGGTGATTGCATTTTTTGCTGTACTCTTACCCATCATGTGCGACTCATGAGCAACCTGAAGCCTTGTTGCCCGGGCAACAGCGTCATTATACTCTGACATAATGTGTCTGAAACAGATGTAAATATATTAACCTTATGCTTACTTTATCCAATTTTACAAAAATAATAGGGAGAGGGGCGGGAAAGAGAAACGTTCAACAGATTTTCACTTGGCCTAATTATCAAGTACTTACTCAATTCGCTTCTGGTACATTGGGAATAGCGACTCCAAGACATTAGTATGCTCGCAGAAGCGCTTCCATCTAAGCATGTGTAGATGTTTACACTGTACCAACTGCTGAATTCTATCACAATAGAACTATAAAAACAAATATTTATTTATTCACAATATTTTACCAGGATGGTACAATCATGGTATATAAACGTATACAGCACAGGCAAAAATATACCAAAAATACTTAATATACACACAACATAAAAAATCTTAATACGCTTGTGAAATTACGATAATCTTGTAGAAGCTTTCAAAACATCACCAGAGGTATACATACATCATTTATAATTTTTTAACATATTGCAGAATAATTGTTGCTTGATGGGGTTTTTTAATTTTGAAAATAAAAGCAGTCATTTATAAAAATAATAATTAATATTAAATTATAGTAATTAATTTCTTACCTGGTGTAGGATAAGTGGAAGGCTGTTATCTGTGTACTCAAGCCGGGAACAATTGTCCAACTCATCTTGCATTACATGGGCTTGAACAACAAGGGGCTGGGCTTCACTCACCTTTACAAGATCAATTATACAAAGAAATTCTAACTAAATTTCCTATAGAGCTTACTTTTACAAGATACAAGATACACCATATTTATTGCCTTTTTGAGAGGGAAAAAAATCTCACAGCCTAAATGCTGGATAACCCATGTTTGGTTCAAATTTGCCCATATTGACCTACCTCCATTGCCCTTTTGATGGTTAGCTCTCTCTGTTTTCGAAAAAATTCAACACTTTGTGGCAGTCGCACAGAACTACAAGTAAAACAAAAGCAATTTTTTATGAGAAAAACATAGAACTTTTTAATTCTAGAGAACCACCCAACAGTTGAAGAGCCAACCCATTACCAAAGTCAAATAGTTTTGAAGAACAGCAATTTAAAAAAGTTGTCAGGCATTGTCTTTTGTTTTTAAAATACATTCTTGCTCTCTCATTGTAGCGTGAGCATTATAGCAATGATGCACCTGTGTGTGCAGGTAACCTTGTGTTTGCATGTGCGTACAGAGTTTCAGCAGTTTGGCATGTGAACTTAACTTTAACTTTATTTAACTGAGATAAGGTCAACACAGATGTTACACATGGCCAAAAAGGTTAGCAAAATTTAGATGAACACTTTACTAATACAGTATTTTTAAACATAAAATAAAAGCACAAATGAAACAAACTCCTATCTACCTTGCAACTCTTAAAGATGCTCCAAATGCCTCATTTTCCTCTATGTCATTCTTTAAGTCACTCAGTTCCTTCTGAAGCTCATCTTCAATGTTCTTTATCTTTTCGCTTCCTCCCACTTGGTATAAATCTGTGATAGATGCCATGATGGATATGGGCCTACCATATGCGTAATGGCAATAAAATACCCATTCAATAGAGATGCATGACCAACACTTTGCTGTGTGTTTGCACCTGTCTGGTCTTGTTTGTTCTGCTTTCAGTGCATATGTCTGTGAAATCAATAATGACATATACAGTAATGAGTTGGGTGATTTATATTGAATATACTACTAGGTTAGGTTATGATGACAGTATTATTCCATTGTAGCTTTGTAATAATACCTTTTTACGTTTTAACTACTGCAGTTTAGTAGGCTATGTATGATTTATTAAACAAAATGTATACATTTTTACAATACATTAAAGTATTTTGTGTGCGCATGATGATACCTCAAAAAGCAGCTCATATTTGCATGGAAAATCACTAAGAAAATAGGTGCACAGAATCATAACTACTGCATAATTTAATACATTATATTGGTTATATAGATTAGGTCAATGCCTAATTTTCAGTAAAATCTGCGTGGAAATCGGCCCTTATTTTCCAAAATGCGCGAATGGATTTCCAGGCCTAATCTTTGTGCAGGGAATTCCTTGATTTACCTTAATGTCTCAACACCACGGTAGCCAAAGGCTACCGTGGTACCTTGTAAAATACAGAAACCCCCCCCCCCATGTATGATTTATGGGGACATTTTCGTCCATAAGAGAAGAGAAAATAGGCCTATGCCTACTATTACTAGGCTTATGGCCTAGGATCTTTTAACACTTGTGAACCACATTATAAGGGTAGGGCCTTAAACCACTATTAAGAGGACACTACACTTTTTTTTTATACGAACTAGTAAAATTTTGCCCTACTCAGTATTCTTTGGCCAATTTTGTTCTTATGTTACACACTTTTCAAACATACAAATGTATTGTTGTACCAGTATACACTGGAATGTAGGTAACAGTGCCCAGAAAAAACTTGCCCCCGAAAAAAAGGCCACTGAAAAAACGTCACCAGAAAAAAGGCCCCGGTAAAAATGGCCCCAAATGACAAGTAGGTATACACTTCCTGTACTGTTATAGAGGGTATTACATCACACCTACTGCACATTAAAGGTACAGATATATTTTTTGGTTTTTCTAGTTTTCTAAAATAAAAATATCATTGGACATTTTACCTCATCCTCAATTTGTTCCTATTTTGTTCTTAATTTTTAAGCAATTTCAGCCTCAGTGTTCTCATAAAAAAAAAAGTGTATTTGGTCCTGGATGTGTCCTTTTAAAATAGGGGTTCTGCAATACTTTACTTTGCTAAGCTAGGCATACCTAGGTCTAGCCTAGGCACTAAGCCTGGGCCCTATTCTAATTTGTTGTGATGAATTGTGTGTTGGTGGTATGGCTTGCAGGCAACATGCATGGATGGAATGGTGGTGGTGGTACTACTACTGTACTACCAGCCCACCACTCTACACCCTCCCATCGAGTCTCAGTGGTGCTGGCTGTGGTGGTGTTAGGACTTTTACTGACGTTTCTTCTACACGATAGTCAAGTTAGCAATTATAACGGATTAATTAGTCTTTAATCTCGTAGTTCAGAAATTAATATCGATAAAATCCATACCTGTCCAAAATATAATCAACGCTGTCTTGCTTTCGTTTCGCTTCAGCTGAGTAATCGAAATGCTCATGCGCAATTTACACTAGCAACCGGCTTAGAAACCAGGTGTAAATGGTAGAGGGCGATGAGGCCTTCTTTAGAAGTATGTATTTTTTCCCTTATCTAATACCCGTTAAAAAAAAAAAAAAAAAAAAAAAAAAAAAAAAAAAAAGAAAAGGAAAAAAAAATTACACCCACAGTGTTTAAGTCTTC